GGGGGAAACGTGCTACAAGCTTTCAGCCAAGAGGGTGCCGCCACAATCCGGATTCTGGGCTGTGACGTCTCCACTACGTGTATGCCCTCTCCACTCCGTGAAACGAGGTCCTTGGACTCCAAGGGACTTCGCGAGCGAAGTTCCTTGGAGGCAAGGACGAAATGGCTGGGGAACCCCGAATTCTCTAAGATTTGTCGATGACTTGTGAGTGTTTTCACCATGTCTACGCGGGATGCGGACCCGGACCTTTCCGGACATGGAACTGGACCCGTGTCCGGTAGTTTCCGGACGTCCGGAATTCCGGACATGGGGGGATCCGGAYGGTCYGGATGTCTGGACAGGTCCGGAAATGTCCGGACCATTAAAAAAAAAAAAAAAAAAAAAATCTGAAAAAAAAGTATGCTATGCAGAATAACAATGCAAACCACTTTTGGCTCAGAGTCATGTCAGAATTCCTAACCAAACTTGAGTTACAAGTCAAAAACTATAAAAAAGACTTTAAAAAGTTAAAAACAAATAAAAGGTAATGAATTATTAATAATTAAAAAATTGGGGTTGTCTAATAAATCATTATAGAGAGAGAGCATGTCCGGACCCCCCAGGAAAGCATAAACGGGCCTGAAAAAACCCCAAAATTAAGGGGCTTGGCTCCTCAATGGGGAAGGGTCCTGGACCGTTTTTTTTTTTTTTTTTTCCCTCGAATTTTGGCAGATCCGGACCTTCCAGACCGGACGTCTGGAGTCCAGACTGAATCCGGACCGTCTGGACGGCGGTCCGGACGTTCGGATCATAGCCATGGTTTTCACATTTTCATTTCAGAAGTGTTTTCACATTTTCATTTCCGATTTAATCTCCGAGGATAGGCGGAACGATGACGAAATCCTTGGAGTCTCATCCCCGAGGATCGTTTAACGATGCCTTATCTTGAATGCATGCAACTGCTTTTTCGACCGCATGCAGAATTAAATTCTGCCTGGAATGACGACGAAATCCTTGGAATCGCATCCCCAAGTAGTGATTAACGAGGCCCTTCATGTCGATATAGTAATGTGTTCTTATGGCGACTAAGACTCTGTCTTTTTGTTCCTTCTTTTTCTGAATACTCCTCATCAGGACCTCATGCCATACTCTCACACTAGGACTTTTTCAACAAAGCTCTGGACGTGATTGCGGTCAGATTCGTCCAGGTCGGGCCGGAATTGCAGTCAGATGCATTCTGGAATGTGCTTGTGTGAGTATGCCCGTAGGCTGTGTGCAGTTACCGCTGAAGCGGACTAAACTCTCTGGACACTCGTCACCGCCTGTCTGATCTGATTGCAACGGGAAAGAAAAGGAGCTAATGGTTGTGCTCACGCGTGCGCATTCACATGAAAGTTTTTTCCTTTTCGCATGTGTGTTTGTGTGTGTTTGTGTGTGTTTGTGTGTGTTTGTGTGTGTTTGTGTGTGTTTGTGTGTGTTTGACATTAATGGAATCTTCAGGTGGTGAGGAAATTGGAGCATGGTGTGGCACGAGTGCGGCGAAACCTCGTTAGTTATTTGAGGACTTTGGTGACGAAGCAAGGACATGTCTTCCACTGCTTCAGGACTTCGGTGTGTTCTCTCTCTCTCTCTCTCTCTCTCTCTCTCTCTCTCTCTCTCTCTCTCTCTCTCTCTCTCTCTCTC